GTTTTGACTTCAGCATTATCCTTTTTTATCAACATTTAATTATAAGGAATGTATGAAAATGCAGCTTAATATGCAGGGATTCATTACAGGTGATGGGATGATTGATAATTAGCTGTAATGTCTACTTTGTACTTCTTACATTTTGCCCCTTTCGTTGGTTAACAATCACAGCTGCAGATAATGTTTGACAGTTTGAGCGATGATTTGAACAAATATTATGAATCGCTTGTCAGAATTGGGAGCCAAAACTGTGATTGATACATGCTAATGGTGCATTATCTATTTTCTCTGTTATTGTGCAGCAAGTTGTTACCAGGCTCATTCCCAGGAGGGCGGGGGGTTTATTATTCATGATGATATCTTCTCATTCTGCAGGCAAAAGTGTTTCTGGTTTGGATGGAGAGGCTGCGGCTCAGAGGCTTCGAGGCCGTGTAGGAACAACAGTGAAAGTGAAGTTGTTGGATGTATTTCCTTACCTTGAGCTTCGTAGTATATCCTTAGCTTCAGTTAAATCTCTTTTGCTTGTTGTGAAGCATACTTCAACTTGAGATGTACTAGTTCAACATTCAGACACTTGATAAAAAAAAATTCAGACACTGACAATAAATGGCCAAGGTTTTTGTTTATAAAACTAAAAAAAAAACATTGTGTTTTTTTGGTTCACCAAAGTCTGGCATACTAGGCTTCTATTATATTATATAATATCCCGAATCCCCTTTATGTAATTTGGTCAACTCAGGCGTGGAAAGATCATTCCTCGTCTTTGTATTTGCTTTCTTACTGATGCATATTTATATATCCAGGGAACTGACAGTAAAAGGGGTGGGAGTTTAAGGCAAAAGGAGGTAAATGCTTAACTTGCTGACCGAACAATTCTAAAATCTTAAGATTTTTATATGTGTAATTTGAAAGGTATGTTCTGCGCCTACAGAGCTCATCAAATTGCAATAGCCACTCTGTTGAAAAATGCAGTAACCACAAGAGAACCATTTTCCTACTAAGACAGTGATCGAGTGTTTCCTAATTACATTCACTACCTTTTGTTTCCAAAGGTCCAGCTGTCTCGTGAAATTATCAACCTTTCACCTGTATCAACTGCAATTATCTCTCATAGGTCAGACGATGGCCATGAGTGCAAGACTGGTTATGTTAGATTAGCTTCCTTTTCTCAGGTAAATACTGTACATGTTCGAATTTTGGTTTTTCTTTTATGTTTTCATCTAAAATAAAGTTATCATTAAACAAAGTTGGATTATTTTTCTCAGTATGGATTTAATAACTCAAATTTTCACAAATTTCCCTGTGGCATGATTATATTGAAGGAGTGTAAACATTTGAGGCGTCCATTTGTAACGTTGTTGGCCCAGTTATTCTAAAACTGAAATTAATCTTATTTTATTGTCCATCACCAAGTTGAGTTTGAAAACACCCTAAACTTGTTTGCTGTGAACCAAATATGTTCTTATCTTAATCCTCAATCATATGCTGACGAAGTACTTCCATATTATCTTTTTAGACCATTCATATTATATCTTTTTTTTTAAACCAGACTGCAGCAGCTGAAATGGAAAATGCCGTAAAAAGGATGGAGGATGTGGGTGTCCAGTCTTATATTCTAGATCTACGGAATAACCCAGTCAGTCTATATTTGTCACTGTTGGCCTTCAGATGTTGAATTGCTATATTTTTCTTGTATCAATCTTGTCGTTTTGAATAGGGAGGTTTAGTAAAAGCTGGTCTTGATGTGGCTCAAATTTGGTTGGATGGAGATGAAACTCTTGTCAACACTATTGATCGTGACGGGAATGTGCTACCAATAAATATGATCCAAGGGCATTCGTTAACGCATGACCCTCTTGTTGTGCTTGTGAGTTTTCCATCCCTGCATCCTTTATTGTTCCTCCCCTATCATATAGGGTTACAAAACTTGACAAAAAGAACCACAATACTATACTGCCATGCTTAATATGTATGTGATTACTTATAGGTCTGAAGCACATATGGTTTTTTTGTAACCATGCTGTAGTCTTCAGAAATATCACAATACCTTAAGGCCTAAGCCTATAACCACTCTTAGTGAAATTGTTCTACCTACATACGATGAAGTTTGTTGTTTCAATGCTTCCTAAGATTATATTCTATTTGCATAGTGATCTTTAAATGATAATAAACATAATTGGTATAGATTTTCTTTTTTACTGCCTACTGGACTACAAATGTTTTGATATTGCTTTCTTTTTGTTTCTTTTTCTCCATTTACCTGATGCATGTTCTGTGTTTACGTTTGTTAACGCAGGTCAATGAAGGAAGTGCAAGTGCAAGTGAAATCTTGGCAGGGGCATTACATGACAATGGACGAGCTATTCTGGTTGGCCATAGAACCTTTGGTAAAGGAAAAATTCAGGCAAGACTAACTTCACATTATGCTATTCTTTTCTGTAAAACGCCTTATTTTGGTATGCTTCACAATCCTGTTCTGTTGTGCAGAGTGTGACAGAGTTGGATGATGGCTCTGCTCTGTTTATCACAGTTGCAAAGTATCTATCTCCAGCGCTGCATGAAATCGATCAAGTAGGAATCCAACCTGACATACAATGCAGCCCTGATATCCTATCTTTGCCAAGAGCGCCTTCGCTAAGAGAAAACAGCGAGGCCACAAATTTGGAGATGGATTCATGTATCATGGTCGCAGAACAAGCATTGGAGATTGAGCAAACAAAGGGTTCCGCTTCTTAGATGTGCAACTTATGGGCTCTGTATATTGTTGCATTGTACAGTAGATTGGATAGCTTACCGTAGAGGCTTATAAAGTTCTGTAGTGGTATATGGAGTATATATAGGCTGATCCTCACATGTTTCATTTTAGGCATTATCTATTCGGTGGTTCATGGGAATGCATATAAGCTGACCCTGTGTCGGGTTGATTCTTGGGCATATACCATCAGATATTCAGAACCATAGCATGCAATTTTTTGTAATTAGGCCTGTTGGTTCTTGTGTTTAAGGTTCATCAGCATCTAAGGGTGCCCCGTTCGGCTTATCCCATATTCGACTTGTTCGACTTCTTTTTCAACCTGGAATAGTGTTTTTCTCTCTCAACAATTCAGCCAGAACAGTGTTTTTCAGCCAGTTTCAGCCAAAATTCTACCAGCCGAACGGAGCTTTTATTAAGAGCATCCCTACCAGATCAAGAACGGATTGAGAATAAAAGATCATCTTTTCCTATAACCAGAAATAAAGGGGGATTGAAGGTAAAAAAATCAAGCTCTAGTAGATCCCTTTCCCTAATTTTTTTTCTCAATTTGAGAAAAATCACCCTCAGTTCCTTAAATAAAGGAAAGAACAGGACATTTTTCTCAATCCCCTTTCTTCTCTCACTAACATCCAGGACCCACCAGCTTGGGTGCCCGCCGCGCCGTGCCCCTACCGCGCGAAACTCGTCGTCTCGCCAAGTGCCGACCTTCGTCCTCTCCTGCGCCAGCCCTTGCCCCAATCCTGCCCTCCGCTGCTCTGTGCGTTGGAGTGCCCCACTTGCGGTGGTCGGTGGATACAGAAGAAACGAGATGAGAGAAAAGAAGGAAGGGAGGACTGACATGTGGGGCCCACATATTTTAGGGGTTAATCTACTGGAGCAGATATCTCATTTTCAGTGTAATCCAGTTTTCTCAATATCCTATGCTGCATTTTAGGAGAAAAAGGAAATGCTGGAGACACTCTAACAGCTTGTTTGATCGTTTATGTGGCTTATAATCCGGTTCATGCTGTTTTGTTGTGAGAGAAAAACACTGTATCATGACTGATATGATCAAGCGAACATGTGTATATAGCTAGGACATAATCAGCATGTTCGGCTGCACTGGCTGCCGCTGCAGCTCCATAACTATGAACTACTGTAGCATGGACTAGAGAAGCTGCAACCACATCCCGATGAATTAAGACCAAAATTTTTCGATGCTATTTTTTATGCTTCAATAATTCAAATACAAGATGTAGTATCTAAACTTAGCATAAGCTATAGTATCTGAACCTAAGCAGAAACTTACATCACACGCGCACACATACATATATGTTGTGTGCAAGCTAGACCTATAGCTATACCTAAAAACACATGCGAGTGAAAAAATATGTGAAGATCATCAGACTCTAAGCATAACAGTAACAACACCTTGACCATTACGGAGTATCCGCACTTGAGGTTGCAAAAAACAATAAAAAACCAGTGTGAATACCTACGTCGAGCAGAGCTGGAACACAGGTCACGGGTGCTCCACTGAGCACATCTGACCACCGAGGCAATGGCTTGTTCGCAATGCCATTTTGATTATATAAGATTGAAAAAAATAAAGGGCTTCGAAAGGAATATGGCCCCGTTCGCTTCGCTGAAAAAATAAGTCAAAATACTGTTCTGGCTGATTTGTTATGAGAGAAAAACACTGTATTGTATAACAAGCGAACATGACCTATGTGTGCAACTAGAGGGTTTTGAAAGTCGGGCTTCATGTTTATTGTATGCTCCATTAACTGAAGTATTCCATGGTAGTTTTCTAGGATTTTCATTTAAAAAGCCACACTCATCAGTTACCAAGGTCAATGGGTCCGAAAAAGATTTCATATAGGGAATGGTCATGTAAGGATGTTTTTTTTCTTTCAACAAGGAGAGCTTTTGGGCCCAGAAAAACACTGAACTCAACACTTCGTTGACGTATTGTTGGACAATTGACAACGAAGAATAAGCTCCTCCAACACTGTTAAAACTTTTTATTTGTGTTTTCTGGATTCTTAGGTTGACTTTTCTCCACCAATCTGCAAAATAATTATCATACATAAGACTGACTCCAACGACCAGACCCAAACAGCAAAAATAGGTCGTAAACAGTGTTCTAGGTAGCAAAATCATGCTCCAACAGATGACCCAAACCGAGGACGCATTTTGCGTTCACGCCGATCCGAAACGCAAATAAGCGTCTCTGTCTCGAGACGACGCAAATCTCTGGAGCCGGATGTCGAAGGTGCCGCTCGCGGTGGGAACAGAGGCGGCCATCGTCGCCGCCACCGGCACGGGTACCATACCGGCGTCGCGCTTCCGCATCCATCGATGTCGAAGTGCCTCCTCCTCCTGTATGCTGCTATTTCCACACCTCCCCGTGCGGTGGTGGCCCAACCAAAGCCCGCCCGGCCACCGGGCGCCGAGGGCCTCGTCCGACACCGCAGCGAACAAGGTCATGGGCTTCCGTGGTGCCCAGGGCACCGTCCGCCATGCACGCCTCCTCCCACCTCGCCGTCGCCTCGACCTCCTCGCGGTCGTTGCCCGCCTTCCTCGAGGGCGGCGGCGGCGCGAATGCGCCGAGCTCGCTGCGAGATCCCGGTCACCCCTAACCTAGGGAACCGGTGTGATGGTGTGTCGGCCGCTTTGATGCTCGGATGCTGCCGAGAAGTGCGCATCGAGCGAGTTTGATGGGATGGGTGGCGGGACGCTGGAGTTCATGAAGAGGATCGAGGAGCTCATGGCCGGCGGTGGGTGCAAAATGGCAGCCCGGGCGGGCTTGCGGTGGCTCATGAGCGAGGGAGCGGAGCGCGAGCAACGTCGGGAGGAGAGAGAGAGAGAGGGGTGTGGGAGGGGGCAAAGATATTTTCAGAGCCGGAGCTCGGGAAGACAAAGATGGGCACCGGACGGAGGATTTTGGGTTCGCTGTTGTTGGAGAAGGAAGTTTTTGGGTCCGTGACCCTTCGCCTGTACGGGACTTAAATCGTCGAATAGGTCTCGTGTATGCGTTCCTATCGTTGGAGACAGTCTAAGGGTGCTCTCAGAGACAATTTTCTTTCATTTGTAGCACATGTAATTTTAGTATAATTTTCCTCATCAACTATGGGCACACCAGTGTGAATCGCAATGCCAAATTGAACCTAAGCTTCACACACAATTAGACCTCGTCAAAGAGCCTCACCAGTTAAGCTGGTAGGAATAGAAGTGAATTTATCCGTGAACCCAAAGTTTTTATATGCAAAAAAATAATTATTTATGGACTCACGGACATACATGCTTGCATCTAGAATGGTCCACAGAAACTGGTTACCCAAGCAACAAGACAAGAAGATCTCTATGAAGAATCTAGACAATTCAGCTAGGAGCAACCTTCAAAAGTTGGTCATCCATACACAACCTTCCATAAAAAAAGTCTTAACGATTCAAGCAGTGGTATGCGGAAATTGATCACTAGTTCTAGGAGCACACTCCCATTTCACATGCTTTCTACCAAAAAAACAATCATTTCCAACATTCCATTTCTCGGAGCCATAGCAGAAAAAAAGACATAAATGAGAGAACAATAGCTTTATTTCCTTAACATGATTTCTATGAATAAAACAAATGTTAGAAGGCCATTAACGACGCTACATGGTGTGGCACTTTTTGATGGTTACTATGTATCTTGCGACGGTGTTGACACTAACCAACTAAGGAGCGATGCTTGAGTGTACCTGGCGCGGTCCTTTCGGAGTAGATGGCTAGAGGCGACGCAAATTATGGAACTATTTAAGTGCCTATACATATTGCTGCTTCCATTGGATGTTTGAGGCTCTTACACAAATCTTGATGAGGTGTCATTTATTATTTTTCTTTATGGGTCCTTATTGTACATTAAGAAAAAACTCTCGGAGAAGGATAGCTAGAGATTTCTTAGAAAAAAATCCATAATGAGATGGGGACTAATTCTATTTTCATTCTATAGTTTTTTCTCTGAGCACTGTGTATAGACGGGAGAGGCTGTAATGAGATGAAAACGTCATATACGGTTTTGGGACGGATATTTTTTTTTGAACCTTCCACCGCTAGAGGCAAACCTGTCATTCTCTTATAATTTATATTTTTTAGTTTTTATAGCTATATTTTCTCTCATAGCAAATCAGTCAGAACAATGTTTTGGCTTTGGCTTTGAGCGAAGCCAACGCGGTTTCCTCAGGCTGTTCGCTTGCGCATATACGATCGTGAATTATAAGTTAGAATATTATTTTTCTCTTGCCCTGATCCAGGTAGCAGTAAACAATACGCGATCGATTACGACGAAACGGACAGCCGGCCTATCCTCCTGTTTCTGTTTCTGGGAATTATTCCCGGATTCGATGCCCGGGGGCCGCGGTTCCGCAAAGCGAAGCGACGCGACAAGCGCGAGGAGAGAGAGGAACCTGGGGAAGGCGCACCAGTTTCAAGCAATCCCTAGCCCGTGGCGACGTGGTGGGAAGGATTCGAATCAGCGGCGAAGCCTAGGTGACGGCGCTGTTACTCGCCTCTCGGGGTGGGCCGGCTTGTCCGATCGGTTTGGCTCGGCCATGTCGACTAAGAAGTAATTTTTCTCTCTTCGGTTTGAATTTGATCCTCTTCTTAGCTGCGTGCGATTTGGAGGCCGGACTGGATCGATGCTGGCGAGCATGCGGTTAAGCCGCGCTGGGGTCTTGGATAGATGAATGTAGTGGTGAGCGGTTGTATTGAGGCTGATTGAGCTTCGTCTAGGCCTTAGGGTTAGGGTTGGTGGTGGTCGCAGCTGATAAAATTCGTGTCTAGTTGGGAGTTTCAATTTGGGATTGAGTTGGAAGCTAGCTCAAACTGACCCACTGCTTAAGTACCTTTGGGGAAGTACCTGGGTGATGTAAGCTTGATTGCAATGCCAGATTTTAGGTCCTGGGAGTGTTCTGAGCGTTATGAATGGAGCATGGGCCACTTGATTTTGTGCCTTGCTGATGCTTGATAGTTGGGCAGTGACGGAGCATGGAGCCAAACAAAGCAGGGGCCAGTCAAGCTACAAGCGTACAACTTTGAGAGTATTAGCTTACATCTAGCATAACCAACTGATGTAGGCTTAGACGTTTTACAGTGGATGCGTGTTAACTTTCCTACTTCTGGGCGTCAGTCACAGAGCTGATTCAGAGTTGCAGTGGCCAGAGTGTGGATGAAGGGGGGGCCAGTGCCCAGCTTCGCCTCCACTGGCCTCCGCCAGTGTAGTTGGGAAGATTGCATTTGTTTTAGCATTTGATCTGATCATATTTTGTTTGTGGATCAAGCAGTGGTGTTGATTTAGGGTATGAAGCCTATTACCATATATAATTTCATTGCATTAAATTAAATCCAATAGATCATTTTTGTTTGATTATGTTGCATATGTTGTTTATTTGACTCTGTAATTGCCTGGTCATGTTGCAAATGACGAATGTGGTTTCCCAGCGGTAACTGAAAAATTAGTTAGTATTTATTCTAAACAAAACGACAAAGGAAAATGATGATGTTTATTTATCTGTGAAAAGTTGGAAGCACTCATTTTCTTATATGCGCTGAGAGTGGTTAGCAAGAAACAGCAGCCAAAAACTAAATATATTGGAACCAGTATTAATGTTTAATGCTTGTATAAGTAGGATATCTTTTACTATGATGATAATTCAACCTTGTATCATGTGTTCATACTGTGTATAGCTTGTAAGAGTATTTGCCTAAAACCACTTCTATTGCTCTGGCATAGCAAACATTTTCTTTGCTGCTAGAAAATAATAAGAAATATACGAATAGCTAGAAAATGTAAAGTGTTTGGTTGGTACCATATTTAGCCATCAATATTCGTTCATGATCATAATCAGGGAAAGTGAAGGTGTTAGGTTTGTGATCATGATACAGTACAATGTTTGGTAAAGTTGGTTCGATAATACTTGGTGGAGGTCATTTGGTACTTTCATTAATCCTTTCATCAGTTTTGTGTGTATAATTATGTTTCGGCTCACTAGCAACAGCAAAATATTTTTTTACCAAGGACTTCCAGGTGAACATTTTGACACTTGAAACTGCGAATATTTTGGCAAGAAAGGAATGAATGTGCGAAACATTGTAATTGTTTACTCAAATTGTTATAAGTATGAAGCCTTGATTCAGAATTACAGACTTACATATTTCATCTTGTTTACTTGATAAAGTATTTTTAAAACTAGTCTGGAATTATTCTGTCTGGGATGAAACAAAAAATTTTGGTTGTTTGCTCAATGCTCCTTTTGCTATCAGGGTTCTTTGCAAGTTCTTCATGCATGGAGCTTGCTTGAAAGGAGAGTACTGTGAATTCTCCCACAACTGGAGTGATCAAGCAAATAATGTAATGTATTAGTAACATTCCATGCAGTTTAGTCTTATATCTGGAGTTACAGTCGTAAGTGCATATCCTCTTGTGTATCTTACTGTTAACACTTTTCATCTCAGGTCTGCACATTCTACCAGAAAGGTGCATGCTCGTATGGTAGCCGTTGCAGATATGACCATGTCAAAGTTTCTCGTAACCCCACAGTGCCACCACCACCCCCAACATCAAGTGCTGCAAGACGTGTCACATCTACTTCTCTTCAACTTTTAAGTTCCAGTCAACCTCACACGGGACACCAAACTGATTCAAGCAACCAAAGACATCAGATATCTGTGGATGTGTTGGCACATTCTGCCAGTAAGCCTGCATGGAGAAATGATTTTCAACATGACATTGTTTCAGATGATGGAATTGACTGGTCCTCTAATCGAAATTTGCTAAATCAGACGTCATTGAAACCTGCAGATCTGCCTATTTGTTCTTTTGCTGCTGGTAATTGTCCTTATGGGAAGGGTGCCCTCAAATGCATGGAGATCTGTGTGCAACCTGTGGAAAAATGTGTTTGCATCCTCATCGTCCTGATGAGAGGGAGGAGCATACCACGTTTTGTGAGAAAAATCACAAACGCCTTGAAGCTCTGAAATGCAGCCAAGAAATAGAATGCAGTGTATGTTTGGATCGTGTGCTTTCAAAGCCTACTGCTGCTGAAAGGAAGTTCGGACTGTTATCCGAATGTGATCATCCTTTCTGTATTGCATGCATTAGAAATTGGCGTAGCAATTCTCCTTTATCTGGTATGGATGTGAACTCAGCACTGAGGGCTTGCCCAATATGTCGGAAACTTTCATACTATGTCATTCCAAGTGTTCTTTGGTACTTCTCAAAGGAAGAGAAAGAGGAGATCACTGAAAGCTACAAATCCAAGCTCAAGTAAGATTTATATTCCCAGCTGTATTTGCTTTTTTAGCATGCTGCATGCCTCTTATTCGGTTAATATTGTATTTTAAAACTGAAATTATAATGTCACAAATATTTTTTGTATTTGTACCTAAGCTATACCTTGTTATTACTCATTTGGTGAACCATGGTAGTAATATACTAGAAGATGACATCTAACATATGTTTTATGAGGAGCATTTTAAGGTGATTAGGTGAAATTACTTTTCGCCTTATTACTTTACTAATTTCTTAGTTTCTAATAGGATAAATTTTGCAGGTCGATTGATTGCAAGTACTTCGACTTTGGGACTGGCTCATGCCCCTTTGGAACAAGTTGTTTCTACAGGGTAGGAATATTGTCTTTTACATTGCTATGGATATGTGAATTGAATGCAGCTGACATACTTTGAGGTCTGGAAACCAAATTTCATTTTGTCTATCTAAGAGTTTTAGAGCCCATTACCAGACTGTTTCCTTTCTGCTTATGTGTAAGAACTGATCTAGTAGTACTAAACAGAACTCTAGCTGGAAAATGGCTGGAGCTTCCCAACCTCTGTGTTTGCTTCCAAGTAGTACTTTGAACTCAGATTATCGTTGAGTCCTTATTCCTTAAGCTGGGTCTGGCTTGTTTATTTCTAGAGGGAGGCACCTGACTTATGGTGGTGAATGGAACCTTTTTTTTCCTTGAACATGCAAGAAAATTGCGCATCATTTCATTAAGAGAGAAAAGGAGGACCAGAAGAAACTTAGGAAAAATCAACCCACAACAAGCGACCTAGCCAGGAGCTCCTGGATCCTTTTGCACCAGCAGAGCACCATAGGATGCATTCATTTGTGATTGTCTGCAGTAATATTGAGACTTGCACCATTAAAGACAATCATTCCTGTGCCTCCAAATTTCCCAGGCCACCAGGGTAATGAGTGTCTTGAGCCCTTTTTCAATCTCCTTAGGTACGTCCTTGATAGCCTGGTAGCACCAACTTGAAAATTTGCTAGTAGGAATGGAACCTCATGTTTTGTTTCAACCTGGGAGTCACCTGACTATTGGCAGTGTGTGGAATCTCGATTGCTCCATTTTATTGTTTTCCTCCTTTAAAGCTACTTGAGCACCCTGACCATGTGCTGGCAAGGCATTGGTTCAGTTTTGTCACCACTAAGCTTCTAGAAGTTGCTGAACACAGTAATTTGTCCAAAATAAAATGTACTCCCTCTATTCCAAATTATAAGTTGTTTGGCTTTTCTAGGTACATAGCTTTTGCTATGCACCTAGATATATGCTATGTCTATATACATAGCAAAGATTATGTACCTAGATAAGCCAAAAACAAATTATAATTTGGAATGGAGGGAGTATCATTTATAGTATAGCTTGGCTGAAGAAAACATTTTTTCTGTATATTATATCATTGATCCTTTGGTTGGATTCTTACAACACGGCGCAAGTTTTGTCCTAAGTAATCTATTCATCTTCATCATCATTTCTATGATGTTTGGGTTTTGCATGATGATGTTCATTGGTGGTTCATGATACTTCTCAATGATGGGTCTTGACATCAGCTCCTCTTTAATTCAATCTGGTTCATGTTATTGCCGATATAAAAATTTCTACATGTTGTGGTGGAACTTTTTTAGTTAGCAGATTCATTATACATGGTTGAAACTTGAGTTGTTGCTACATTAAGTTCGTACAATTCTTGATTCTTGTTCATAGGCAGTAGTGTGTATTGTTCTCACTGATGATGTTCTTAAATAGCTGTTTGAAGATGCAGGAAACTTGAATTCTTATGATTATTATTTTCCTGTGTGGATCACGTTGGTAACTTGTTAGTAAACTGTAATGTTAACTGTTCAGTAAAGCCCATTATTTTCAGTCAACACTGAACCCTTGTAGCCGCATGTTTTGCAGCATGCCTACAGAGATGGCCGCTTGGAAGAGGTTGTACTGTGGCATCTTGATGCTGATGATGGAAGTACAGTAATTGCAAAAGATATCAGGTTTGTGTTCTCTATCAAGTTTCTTTGTACTCTTGTACTTTTCACCCTCAACTTGCCCTCTCACCTTCCTGTTTGTGTCTTCCAGGTTATCGGACTTCCTCATTTGGATGCATCTTTAGGGACCAGCAGCTGTATAGATATCAAATGTAAGATCCACTTTTAGTACCCAGTCTGCATTAAGACTATATTTCTGGCCAAATAGTCCAATATGCAATGCATGCGTAGAAATGCCATTTTTATATTCTGATGCAGGAGTTCAGTAATAGTTCTGCGGCATCATTGAACAGTTCCAAATTTGCAATTCAATGTAGTAGGTGTATTAGGGTCTTTTTGCAAAAACTATGCCTTTAACTCTTCATCAATATTCACTTGGTCTTGCATTCATTTTCTTTTGCTCATGAATTTTCATTCATTTGGTGTTTCATTCTTACAAAATCATTTTCCTCATCATTTGACCTAGTGAACTGAAACATTTGCAACCAGGCTTTCTGGGATATCGTTATCCACCAATTATTTACAATATTCTGAAGAGCGCTTGAGGCATCTTTGGAAAGTACAGCTTTGTCTCCATTTAGTGGTGGTTGCTTTGTCGCCAGTTGAAATAAGGCAATCCTTGTGCGATAAAAATTCGCTGTTCCTTTTCTTTTACCTTGCATAATTCACTTGCATAATCTTTTCTCTTAGCTACACGCCTGATATTGAGCATTCCCTTCAATGCAGAAAGTTTGAAGATCTCTATGGTCCTGTAGACACTGGGATTAGCTTTTCAAAGCACTGTTGACCTGAGGACAATGGAAAGAAGTAAACAATTGTGCTTGAATACCAAAACAGAAGCAATACTGTTTATAGACTTCACTAAATGTGGCTGTATGTATCAATTGCTGGTCTTCTAGGCCACCAGAGAGTAGCGGAACATTTCCTGGCCGATGAATACAAGGCAAGCGTATAAGTTTACTTCCCTTTTACCTTAATGTTCTTCTCATATTGTGGAAGGGTACTGCACCAATAGGTCGAATAAGGCATTTGGTTGTATTACTTAATATACAAAAAAAAAAGTATAGCAGATGAAACACAGAATGACAATTGTAATGCAGCATTGTTGAATGTGAGCGTGAGCGGTGCTTTTCATCTATGACCTGCTGGGGAAGGTCCTCTTGGTAGCAGATGAACTGAGATCATTTTTTTTTTTGCTTATATGCAGCATAAATGTACGAGAAGAATAGCATTTTTTTTTGCTTACGTACAGCATAAATGTACGAGAAAAATAGCAAATGAACAGAGGATGATAATTGAATGCGGTCATCGATTGCATAGTTTCTCAGTTAACTCTGGTCTCTGGGCAAATCGTTGGCACTATTTTTGCTTGCAGCATCAACTATAGCTCTTAAAAAAATTCGTATAGTTGTCACATAGCTAAAAGTTGTTTTTTTCTTTTTTCTTGATAAAAAATCACGATTTTGTTCCTTTTTCAATCAACGAGCTACTTTCAAAAAAGAAATAGGACACCAACTCTCCATGTCCAAATCGATTATTTTCCTTTTGTGCTTTTTTCCCCTGCGACTCTCCATATCCAAAACGATTTGTGCTTTCTTTTCCTGCGTATGCAGATTTTGATTTTATTCCTTCCCTATGAGGATAAGGCTTTTGATACGTAATCTGACTCAGGCCTGCCTGACAACCATTGTCAGAAACGATTCTTACAACAATCGGTAGAATCACTGACAACGAGAAATGTGTAACTAGAGAATTTCTAGTTTCTTGTTTTTTATGCCTATCAAGGAGAAACGACAATTAGCTAGCTTTCACATGATTCTAATTCTTGCCAGCCCCTCTGTATTAGCAACCATAAATTTTAATTTATTTTTAAGTTTTTTTTCGAATACGTAAAAGATTTGCACATCATTGTAATTAAGAAGAAGAGTTAAAAACCTACTGCAAATAGTTCTGATTTTTTGAAGAATATTTAAGTGATGAAACGAGTTAAAATGGGTTATATTTAAGTTATTCTTTAACCGCAAATAGTTCTGATTTTTTGAAGAATATTTTCATTTATATTAATTTTTTCATGAAAAAATTGTGAATCAAAATGCAACCTACTATCCAGCCAAACGACCTCATGAGGGTGAGCCAGCACAACATAGCCTGTGGCAACTTAGCAGTGGCAGCATGAGCAGGGAAAAAAAAAGCTTATGATTCGTAACAGACCAAGAAATGATCCATAAAAAAGTATGCAATAGATCATCCAACTTTATTCATATGTATAAAAATGTCGCAGATATATATGATACAAAAAGAACGAGGAACAGCAACACTCAGATCAAATTCCCGCTCAAATCAAATCTAGAAACAAAACCTACTACTCCATGTCATGTCCATGACCATGTACATAAGCGGTAGATGATATATATGCTTCTACTGCATCAGGGTGGCCACAAGCAGGGACAGCAGTGCGGACGACACCACGGCGACAGCGGAGGCCGGAGCGGAGGCCGCTCCGGCGACTGGTCCCGGCGCCGGCGCAGACGCAGGCGCCGTGAACTCCTGCGCCGATGCGGAGGCCACGAGGACGGCCGCCATGGCGAAGAGCAGGACGGAGGCGACGACGCGGGGAGCCATCAGGCCGGGCCTTGATGAGGATCTTGGACAGTAATTAAGAGAGTAAACGGATGCTGGAGGCTGGGCTCGCTCGCTGCTGTGTTGCAAAGCTGTGTGGCGGCGCCGCGGTGTTTGTTTGTGCTAAGCTGCGATGATGGGGGAGGATAGGGGTTGCTGCGACGAGGCTTTTATAGGCCGTCGCACGCGGCAAAGTGGAGCTAGGCTCATACTATTCCCGTGGTCAGCGGTCAGCCGCCAGCCGTGGGTTCGGCGGTCGCGGACGTGGGTTCCTCTCTCCCCGCGCCCGCCAGCTCGCGGTGCGTTGCGTTCCGAGGGGGGGCCAATGCGTCGGCGGCACGGAACAGCACGACAAAGACGCGCGCACGGCGTGGGAACGCACGCCAGGCCGTTCGGCAAGTTTCCGCGTGGCGTGGGGAGGGGTTGACGCGGACTGCGCGCCCACGGGTCTCGCGCGGGCGCGCCGCCTGGACTGCGGCTACCGGTCCTCTCTCCAGGCGTGCCTAAATTCCACGAGCCAGAGAGGCCTCCTGAGCCACGACCACGACGCAGCACGCGTGACCCCGGCTCGGCCCCTCCCTTTCCCGCCGTGCGGCCCGGGTCGGTGGCGTCAGGCCAACAACGGCAGCAGCGCGTTGCAGCAGGGTCCAGGGACCCCGGACCCGGTGGTGGTGTCTCGCCGAACGCGTCGGACAATTAACTATTAAGCCGCACTAGCTTCACTTTCTTTGCAAAGCGGGAGTGAAGTCTAAAGACGCTGAATCCACCAGAGAAAAACAAGTCCAAAGACACTACCATCGGGTGAAAACAAAAATGGCGCACTTCGTCACGTCACTTGTCGTAAAAGTTAAGGTGCATTATATGTGATTACGTGGAGGTACGCATACTTTGCGCGGGACAAATATTCTTGCTACTACGGCGCAAGTTTCAGGCCACTTCCTCATCTATCAATTTATGCCATGTTTAGATCTATGGTCTGAAATTTAGTTCTTAACGAGAGGTGGCTTGCCTCGGCGGACGTGGACGGATCTTCGCTCCCAACGTCGATGGGTGGCGGGAGATCCTTCTCCGGCCAGAGACGCGACCGGCGGCCGCCTCGGTTGAGCCTTGCCCAGAGCGGCTCCCGCAGGCCGAAGGATCCCCGCAGAGCTTTGGGACAGATGTTTCAATTGTCTCTCCTACTCGCATCGAGTAGCGACTTGCCGTTTGCCTCGGTGTTGCCTGCGCTGCCGCGGCTTCGGCCACCTTGCCAGAGATTGCAAGCGTCCCAGGTCTGCTTCGATGACAAAGGCGAAGGGCGGTAACTTGTCATGGATCACTGCGTGTGGCGGTGACCCATCGCCCCCAGCACGCGCCCCACAGCGGCCCATCGAGCTCGGCTGGGACCATGCAGGGTGTCGCGAGGGGCACCGACAAAACCCGACGACACCGCTGGCGGCGCCGGAGTAAGCCGGTGAGGGACACCAGAATGGACGCGTCTGACGACGCCGACAATGTCGCTGCCTCTGATGCTACCCACTACCTCCACGGGCCAGACCCGCTGGTGTTGGAGCTATGCGCGAGCTCGGGGACTCCCGCGTGGGTCGACTCAATGCTGGAGGTGCTCACCGCCTCACTCGCCATGAGCCGACCAGCAGGGGCGACTACCCCTCAGGAAGTGGAAGCACTGACGGTGGACTTCACATCGTCACGAGAGGGGCATCCTGGCATCGGGGATGCCAAGGCGTGCCTACAAAGCTCGCCACCTCGTGGAGGTCAGCACAGCTGTCGGTGTTTAATGACCGGTAACTCATCACGGAGTTACCCGGGACGATGTTCGAAGAGCTTTGGCGTACGCAGAACTCGACAGTAAACACAAAGAGACGAACAATTTATACTGGTTCGGGCCCTCTTGTCGAGTAATAGCCTTTACGTCCAGTCAACATGTAGCCTTTTGCGTTGGATTAATTGTATGATTGTTAGGGTTACAAGGGGGTGCACCGTACCTTTCTTTATATAGGAGAGAGGATAAGGACACGTATCTAGTCCTAATCGGTTATAAGAGAAGAATCCTAGTCCTATTATGAAATCTAGCTTTTATAGTAAGCCGACTAAGTCGATCTGGAATAGCTTGAAGTCCACGCCACCTTGTCTCGTGTCCTTCAATAGATCGTGGGCCATCCCAGGGCCCATCCAAGTAGTACTCCCGTGGGAAACCTCTAGGACCCTGGTCCGTCAAGCCCCTGAGCGTGTCATGGTTGAACTCGGAAGCCTTCTTGTTCCTCCTGATCTTGCCGAGTAGAAACAAGCGTGGTCCGAGTGCTTTCGTGAGTGAAGCCATGATGTGCTCTGTAAAATCTTCAGGAGGCGTGCACTTTTCAGAAAAGTGCACTCACTAAATGTAGCCCCCCGAGCCTCTTGCTGTTTGCAAAACAAAGAGTTAGAGGATCTAAAAGAAAAAAACATCCGTAGAGAATATGTACCTTGCAAGCCCCGAGCCTGTGTCCGAGTACTTATACTCGAGATAAGCATCTGAAAAGAATGTACTCGAGGATGAGAGTGTCAGCGAAAATCATTGTCTTGTCTGATTGTACAGAAGCAGGTAAGACGTGTCAAAGTCACATGCAAAGCTTTAGTACAGTTAATCCAAAGATGATCAGGATATTCGTGGGAATATGCCATCAAAGGTGCTACCGGGTGTACTGTTACTTCACATGAGTTGAGATAAGGCCGTCGGTACACTAAAAAGGTGTAGTGGGACGCACTGGACCCTTGTAGTGTCGCACATGGACCTCTGAGGAAGTCAGTAGCTTGTCCATGTACTCCTCGTGAACCTAGTTCACAAACACCACCAAAACGCCTATAAAAACCCTCCTGGTGAGCACTTGAACTTCAGTTGTAAGGTAGCTCTGAGTTTAAAGTTTGTAAATATGGTGGTGAACGAAGTAGACTAGCCTCCGGGAGTACTCGGTTGGTATAACCGAGAGCTGTAGTGACTAGAAGAATTCTTGGAAAAGGGTTTAGAGGTAGTCTAAACCCGTAGTTGTACACAGTAGAGTAGCCTGGAGCTGCAACTAGAAGAAGTCTTGTGACGGCTGGTAGAGTGGCACATCTAGCAGTCCCATGTCAGTTCTTCTAGGGTGCCTGTTGACGTCTATCCATGAAGGGTCATACTCAAACCCGAATGTGTACAGATGGTGTCGGCTGGGTGGCAAGATGTGCGAGTAGCTCATCCTGCATACTAGCCAGCGGCTTCCTCTTGTAGTAACTATGCTCCCAAAGGTAGTCGGCCAACAAATGTTCATAGTCAAACAGTTTACCCAAGGTTCTAGGCTAGGACACACTGCACTTCTGTTATCTACCCAGATGCATTACTCTTCTCCTCTTGGATTTAGGTGCATCGGGTATGAAAGTACCTACTGAGAAGCACTTAGAGCATGAGTACTCTGTTATATCCGAGTAGGTGTTGTCTTTGTTATTGACTAAAAAGATCTTGTATCCAATACTTGAAACTCTCTAAATAAATAGTCACTCATTATTCTGAGTGTTCTTGAATCTTGTAAAGTGTGCAACTCTGTATCCAATGGATGATTGTTAAATAAAAAATCTTCATTTGAGTACTACGCTTTTTAGTGCATACTATCAAGCGATTGTCCGAATACTACATCAATCATCCGGGTACTTCACGATGTGGCCATGTAGATAATGGTCGTAGCGTGGCAGGTACCCGAAAGGAATGAATCCAAAGGATAAGTCTGAACACATTGTGACGTGTTGAAAATCCTAAAAAGGCGTGCAACCGTCGTATCAATCCGCGCGGCGTCATTAAAATCGTAGGGAAACCAAAGCGCTACACCCGTTGGCTTGATTATCGGGCCACACGGTAGTGGGAATCCTGTATAAAAGGTAACCAATCTGGGCGACATCTTTCTCTTCTTTATTTCGCTTTCTGCTTAAGCCCCCGTGATTCTGTGAGCGCCCCCAATCTTGCTCCTTGAAACCCTAGATCTATAAAAGCTCTGTGTGATGGGCAAGAGCAAGAACTCGAGCGCCGCCACCAAGAAAGTCGCTGAGAAGTGGGCGTTGGAGGTGCCAGAGATGGCCACCACTGCTCAGATCTGGCCAATGCCGACCATGAAGCCAAAGCATCTCTTGAAGCTCCACGAACAGGGCTATCTGCCAGAGCAGAAACTTGGGGAATGGAAGGCACCTGGAGAGCAGCGTATTCCCAATCTTGAGTCGGGTGAGATTGTTCTCTTTGTGCCGTTCATCGAGCATGGGTTAGCATTGCCAGCAAGTCCTTTTTTGCATGGGTTTTTGCACTATTATGGCATAACCCTGAATCATCTGAACCCTAACTCCATCCTGCATCTTTCGATCTTTGTTCATCTCTGTGAAACTTTCCTTGGCATCCCTCCATCTATCACTCTTTTTCATACTGAAACCACACCCAGACGCCACAAATCCAAGTGTTTTGGGGGTGCTGGTATTCAATTCCACGTGCGAAGGAAGAACGAGTATGTCCACTATACCCTGGTTGATTCTATAAAGAACGGGAGGGCTGAGTGATTTTATGTGGGGAACATGTGGCCCCCCTAGAGGTGCATAGCAACACCGCACCTATACCCAACAACCGCTAGGATAAAGAGACGCTGAATGCGACTGAACCTGATGAACTGATGGAGGATGAAGTTCTAGAGAGAATTCAGAACATGCATGGGTCGGTACAGGTGATACCATACCAGTATCCAGAGCGTGATCATCAGAATCTGCCAGGCGCTGTAAGTATATTGACATTGTGATATGTAAATATCTTAATATTGTGAAAAACTGACTCTTGTGTGTTGATGTAGGAGTTGGGGCGAAATTTCAATGATTTTCCTGCCCGTCCTCTGTGTCCCGACTCTAGAGGAGATGGCGGAGCAGACGAAGGGAGAGCTGCCTCCATCATCCCTATGGAGCAAGAGGGTGACAGCGACTCAGGGAACCCAAACGATTTCATAGTCTAGGTTAATCCGAGGGCG